ATCGATGTTTCTCTCCCATCGATGTTTCTAACTCTCTATCTCTCTCCCTTCCTCTCTGTAAAAAAATCAATAAAAATATATTAAAAAATATTTAAAATATAAAGTGTTTTTTTTGTTTAATTACCCAGAATTCCATCATCTAGACTGGGCGCAACAAACTTCTGTGAAGAACCAGATGGCAAATATATCCTGCTCTGCTGATCATGTCATGTCTATTAAAAGTATTTAACTCTGCCCTGGCTGGTGGCTCAGTTGATTGAAGCATGGTCCCATGCACCAAAAGGTTGCAGGTTCGATTTCTGGTCAGAGTACATACCTAGGTTGTGGGTTTGGTCCCTGGTTGGGACACGTATGAGAGGCAACCAATCAATGTTTCTCTTTTACATCTCTCTCTCTCTCTTAAAAATCAATAAACATATACTTGGGTGAGGGTTTTTTTAAAAAAGTGTTCAACTCTGAAAGTAGATCTGGACAACTCGTAAATGAATGACTGTGTTCCAATAAAACAAGCTATGGGCCAGATTTAGCCCACAGGCCAGGGTTACTGAGCCCTGACATAGGTAAACCACTGTTAACACTTTAGTAAACATCTTTTCTGATAGTTTCATATACTGGGATTATACTCTGGAACCCTCCAAGCTGCTTTGTAACTTCGTGTTTTCCTCTCCGTTTGTGTACACGGATGAAGTTGGCGGGTTGATGTTCTGGTGCCTGGGTGAACTCTGAGTTACTCAGCCAGCCCTCCGCTCATGGACAGTGAGGCTGTTTCTGATCTTTTGCAAGTACAAAGTTCCAAGGAAACACAGGACGCCATTAGGAGATTTTATGAAGGGGGGTAATAAGATCCAATGGACATTTTTATTCTTTTTTTTTTTTTAAAGCAACCAAGGAGCTTTGCCCATGGCAGTATTGTAGCCAATGAAGTCTATCTGATTATTGCTAATGGGGGGGGGGGGGGGAAGCAACCAAGGAGCCCTGGCCGGTGTTTCTCAGTGGTTAGAGAGCTGCCCTTCGCCCCCCCCCCCCCCCCAAGGGTTACAGGTTTGATTCTCAGTCAAGGGCATGTACCTGGGTTGCAGGTTTGATCCCCAGCCCTGATCAGGGCAAATGCAGGAGGCAGCCAGTTGATGTGTCTCTCTCACATCCATGTTTCTCTCCCTCTCTCCCTCTCTCCTTCCCTCCCTTTCATTCACTTCAAAAATCAATGGAGCCCTGACTGGTTTGGCTCAGCGGATAGAGCGTCGGCCTGCGGACTGAAGGGTCCCAGGTTCGATTCCGGTCCAGGGCATGTACCTTGGTTGCGGGCACATCCCCAGTGGGGAGTGTGCAGGAGGCAGCTAAATTGATGTTTCTCTCTCATCGATGTTTCTAACTCTCTATCCCTCTCCCTTCCTCTCTGTAAAAAATCAGTAAAATATATTTTAAAAAATCAATGGAAAATATATCCTTGGGTGAGGATTAACAACAACAGTAACAATAAAACAACCGAGGGCGTTTTCAGAAGAAGCAAGTCTTAAGCTGAGCCTTGAAAAAAGCTTCTGATGTAGAAAAGTGAGGTGTGTTTTCAGGGGAAGGACCAGAGGGTTTCTCGACCTAAGCTCCATTGTTGTCTGTGGTGGGGGTGTCCTGTGCATTGTGTGATGTTGGGTAGCAGCCCTGGCCTCTACCCAGAAGATACCAGGCATACCCCTCCCCCCCGAGTCATGACAACCATCTCCATGCACTGCCCAGTGTCCCCAGGGTGGGAACCATGGGTTAGGTGGACAAAAGGAATCCCTTAGGGCAGTGGTGGGCAGTCAGATGAGGTACAAGACATACAGACCTGAATGTCATTTTTGCAAATTTGAATATTATTCTTTAGAACATATTAAAGATTCTAGACATGGAAAATGATGTGTACTTAATATTTTTTTTATAGGAGTGGGAAGACAAGCCATTGACTGGGAGAAAATATTTGCAGAGCCTATTTTTGATAAGGGACTTGCATCAAGAATATATAAAAAACACTTGCAACTCAACCATAAAAAGGCAAACAGCCCAATTAAAACATGACCAAGGCCCTAAAGGGACAGTTCAGCTAGAAAGCTACCCGCAGGTTGGGCACGCACTCGCAGCCACACTGTGGATGGTGATGCCGGCATCCAAAACGGAGGAATACAAGGTACCAGGTCCTTCTTGCACCTGGACAGGGAAGACGAGCTGACCTACGAGACAACAGGGCAGAATCATGAGACCTGGGCACATGTTGGAAGGGGGAGTCCACTGGTGAAATGATAAAGATTCAACAAAAATATAATACTGAGATGCGATGCTGTAAAACACCCTCCGGAATGGACGTGGGTTTCAGGAAACTGCTTCCCTGCCTGGAAGCTGGACCCCCACAGAACGCTCATTCAGGTAACAGGTGTTAGGAAAAAGAGCGCTTTCTTCCTGGAATGGGCTCTCAAATGGGCAGCCCGAGCCCTTTCTTGCTGAGGAACACGGGGCTCAGGTAGCCTGGCTGGTGCTGGGTAGCTGGCTGTGATTGTGGGCGCTCTTGCAATCACACCTGTGCCCAGAGGTTCCTGACAGCACCTCTTCAGGGAGGGCTGCCTTTTGCTCCTCGGCTGTGCCAGCTGGCGGGCTGGGGCTCCAGGGCCTGGGCACTTCCAGGGTCCCTCACCAGGCCACCTACAGGTGCTGTGCCAGATTCCTTTCTCACCCAAGGGAAGCTCAAGTGAGTGGTCCTGACACATCTCCTAGAATCCCTAACCTCAGCCCCCAAACAACGTCTGCAGTTCCTGGACTGAAGGCGTGGACCTCTGCCCTCGGCATCTGGTGACTTTCAGAACCTGCTGCCTGTGTGTCCCTGAAGGTCCCACAAGGCAGGGGGTGGGGGAGAGCGAAATGCAGTTAGGAGGTATGTGGTAAAGGGGAACATGGGCCCCTTCCCATGAGACCTTGGGAGCCTGGCCAGCCCCTCAGTCAAGAAAACAGCTAGCAGTTTTGAGTTCACACAGCTAATGCTGAGAAACATACCCCTTCCCCTGCAGGCCCCGGTTTCCTCTGTTTTCTGTTCTTTATAAAACCTTGTGTTGGGCCGAAACCGGTTTGGCTCAGTGGATAGAGCATCGGCCTGCGGACTGAAAGGTCCCAGGTTCGATTCCGGTCAAGGGCATGAACCTTGGTTGCGGGCACATCCCCAATAGGAGATGTGCAGGAGGCAGCTGATTGATGTTTCTCTCTCGTCGATGTTTCTAACTCTCTATCTCTCTCCCTTCCTCTCTGTAAAAAATCAATAAAATATATTTTAAAAAAAACAAAAACAAAAGACCTTGTTTGGGAAAGTCTGGGTGGCTGGAAACAATAGGTAGTAGCTCATCTGCAGGCCGGATGGGACTTGGCAGTTCAACTCCACCGGTAGCAGGTGGTGTGGCGTTCACTGGGCCACATGTAAGACCCAATAAACCCATCGCTTCCACAGCCTGACCTCTGGGTAATTTCTTTGAGAATCCAAGAACCATACCTTGACGTGTTCTGGGACCTCAGCACTTTGCATAACAGGCGGCAAAGTGAGCATGGGTTCCACTCAAGTCAGGGGAGAGAAAATAATGGCAGCTGGAGGGCGACCCTGAGTGGCAGCCCTGAGCCGGCCGCTCACCTGAATTTCGGGAAACTAGCAGGCTCTTCTCGGACCAGAAGATCAGAATGCCTTTCTGGCCAGGGACGATGAGGACGTCAAGGGTGCCATTGTAGTCAAAGGGCAGCCCAAAACTGCTGTTCAGAGGGTGGTCCGAGTACTCAAACTTGGCCTGAGGAAGACATCCCAGGTCAGTGATTGCAGAATGGCAGCAGGGGTAGGTCCTCCTGCTTCATTACTCAAACTTCCTTCAAGCTGGCTTAGCTGTCCCAGCAGCTCTCAGCGGGGGATGGTTCTGCCCCCGGAGGGCACCTGGCACGCCGGGGGATGTCTGTGGTTGTCACACTGGGGGTGCTCCTGGCATAGTGAATGGGGGCTCAACACCCCGCAATGCACAGGACAGATTCTCACAACAAAGAACTGTTCATCGGAAGTGTCCACAGTGCAAGACTGAAGTGCCTGCACTCCCTCAGTCCCTGCTCGCCCTTGCTCCTGAATTATTCAAATTCCTTTCCTCCTCCAACCCACCTGTGTGCACACCCCAGATTCTTTTCCTAACAGCCTCCTTCATCAAGCCACTCGCACCCTGCGACCCTCTAAGGGCCGGCTCTGGCGGCGTCTGGTCTGAATTGTTTGGCATGGGAGACCACGCCCAAGTCCCCCAGTGAGCACGCAGTGGCGCGGGGCGTGGCAGCGCTGCACGCTCCTCGGGGACAGAGTGGAGCCGCGCTTTTAAGCTCAGCGACCTTATCTCTGATACCACAGCCGCCTGGCCTGAAGCGAAGCTGTCTTTCCTGGGAAGAGAGTGGTCACGGTGTCTCGTGGTAACAAAGCTTAGGACGAGGAGAACCTACGTGAGAAAGGACGTCCTCTGGTGTCTCCCAACAGGATAAAGTGGCATTTGTCATGCAAATACCGCCCTGTGCAGAAGTGAGGGAAGACTGCTGCAGAAGTGAATACAGGCAACATCTTTGATCCCAGGGCACAGGTCTTTGGGAAGAAATCTCCAAGCCTCTTGAAGAGGCATTAGAAGGCTATCCAGGCAACAAAAGTACCTCAGGATCCTGGCTGATAAAACCAGGCGATCGGTGGCATCCATTTCCCTTTTCCCTTCACACCCTATTCCATCCAGAAAGACTTCATGACAGTGCTGTACCAGGTGTGGGAGGGTGGCATGATTGGGATATTTGAGAGTCCAACTGGCACTGGAGAGTGGAAGAGAGAGGGAAAGCCAGAGAGAAACATGGATGTGAAAGAAACACATTGATTGGTTGGGCTCACACACCTTCGAGATGTTTGAAGAAGATGGGCTCACACACCTTTGAGATGATTGAGAAGAGCCTGACCATGGCCCGGGCCTGGGAAGAGATTGCAACCAAGAGATATTTAGAGCTATGGCAGCTTCCTCAGCTAACTCAAAAGGGGAGTTGAGCCAGTATATCTCAAAAGAAGACATCGAGAAATTTATGATGGCACTCAAAGTTGGAGGTCAGGAGACAAAGCGAGAACTGGAGAAGGCATTCACTGCGGTCTTAATGGCTCTGGGGTCACATTTTCCAGAAGTGATCATTGTCAAGCTATGGGACAGACCAAATATACACTGTCTGCCCCCAAGGAGCCTCATGGTTGCAGTGGGGAAGATCATCCTTTCCCAAGTATTCTACGGATTGGTCGTCAGTGCCCAGAAACACCTGGATTCCTGGGATGATAAGGTGACGGGCTTTAGTCAAAGGGAAATGTCCATGAAGGCCTACATCACCTTCCGCATCTTCCTCAACCGTTGGTCTTTGAAGAGCAAGGACAAGGCACAGGTGACAGAGCAGGTTCTGCAGATAATGGGCCACCTTTTCTTCCTTATGCCACCATCCAAACTCAAGAACCAAGTGAACCGGTTAACACGATGGTTAATGATTTTGATGTCCACGAAAGTGACACCTTTCTACATTTCCCAGTGTATATCTGCCAACTGGTGGATGCTCTGGCACTCAGCGGCTGTGGAGGTATAAACTTGGAATCCCAGCTGGAAAACATTACAGACATGCTGTTCCAGCAGCTTTGTGAACGAGTGAACCCAGCAGACCCTCACTCTGTGGAGAACTGCAGCCTCGCCCTGAGGGCTTTCTTCATCCTGGCCAAGTTATACCAGGATCAGATGGTATCCCTATTACTAACCGCCATGGAATCCAGTGATCCAGCCAAGATGGAATCAGCCCTTCAGGTGTTCACAGATGTGTTCCAGGAATTGCCTCAGACCGAGAAGCTGCAGCACATGGTACTGAATTCAACCATTATGGTGATTCAGGAGGACCTCAAACCAGTGCCAAAGGTCCTCGTGCACTTCATTGAGATGCTGGGTCAGCATAACTACTTGGCCTTACCCCAGGGGAACACCATAATCAGCTATATCATCAAGCTTGTGGAGTCTGACTCATCAAATGAAGAGGACATCCGAGTAATGTGTTCCAGAATCCTACAGATGGTATCTTTGCCTAAACTGGTCACGTTGGTGTGTGAGCCCAACAACACCTTGGCCTTTGTGCCTCTGTGTAAGGCAGCCACACAAATGGCTCTGAAGGCCCGTTCCCTAGGCCAGGTTCCTTACCTCAGCAGCTTTCACCAGGATCCTACCGAATACGTTTCCCCTCAGAGACTCCTGACCCATCTTGTGATGTGTTCCCGGAAGCCCTACAGGGGAAAGGAGTTTGGTACAAGCTCTCTGAGGCTACTATCTGCCCTGCATCCTATCACTTCTCTGCATCCTGTTATAAACCACAGTGTTGGCCAGCTGTGGAGGAAGGTGATCCCACAGATGTTGGAGATACTAGATGATCATACTGAGAAGAGCCTGAATCAGGAGGAGTGGGAGGACAGGCTGTTCCAGTTTTTGAGTAAGTCATTAGTGGCTATTGATGATGACCGCTGGCAGGAGCAACTCATCAGAGTCATCTTGGAGAGGATGCGTTATTTCAGTGATGATGGTGATGAGAAGGCTTTTCTCTATAAATTCTTTGGCTTCGCCCTGTGGACCTCAAGAAGTGAGAAACTGGTGAAGATGATGCTCTCCGCCATCCTTCAAACTTCCCATGAAAACGTGCGGGAGAGGGAGGGCATTGCTGTGGCATTCAGCATCGTGTCCAAGAAACATCTGAAGACAGTCCTGGAGCAACTGAAAGTGTATAGTGCTGTCCTCACTGACAAGGAGTCATCGTCCATCCTCACACTGGCAAAGGAACATCAGCAAAGGGAATGGGTGCTTGTCTGTAACACCATCTACTTAAGCTATAGCAAGATTATTTTAGAGAGCAAGGGAGATATTTTCATGCATTTCGATGCCGTGCTGGCCTTGATCCTGCAACACTACCACAACTGCATTTTGGAAAAGGATAAGGCCCTGAAGCTGGATTACCTGAATGCCCTCATCATACTGACAAAAACCCTGGGCAGGCAGCAGCACGTGGCCTTTCAATTCAAGTTCCCCCACAAGCTGGCAATTGTTACCTTCATGGCGGACCTAATCAAGGAGGAGCCATTGAACTCCATTTCCAGCCCTATTAGACAGAAGGCAATGAACATCATCAATAACTTCAGGATGCTCAGGCTCCTCTTAGAGGCAGAAGAAAGAGCAGAGCTCCTGGGGACATGCTTCAAGAGTGTGTTCTGCCTGCCATCCATAGAAGTGTTACGAAAGGAGGCATCTAGTCCCAAGAAGGGCCAGGCCAATGTGGATCTATTTGAGGGGACCATGCAATCCCTCCTAAGACTAATGGAGACACTTATTGTTGAGATGCCCCCCCGGATCCAGAACTGCTTGCAGCTCATGGATCCTTGGCTTAATTCCCAGAAGGATAACGAGCGGGAACGGGCCATGTGGTGTGCTGCACGTATTTTGGAGTTTACAGCGAAAATGGAGGACTTCAATGCCTTTGCAGAGTACTTCACCCAGAGGCAGCTCACCAACCTGGTGCTGACAGCCATGGAGGAGCTGACGGGCAGCAGGGCTAACGTGTCTCTGGCTGCAGCCCAGTTGATGAGCGCTGTCATGAAAAAGCGGGGCACAGATTTGATAAAGGTTGAGGAAATTGTGGCGGGCATCCTGGAACGGCTCAAATTGCAGCTGGAGCCCAACAGAAAGGAGGAGACGCTTCGGGCCCTGTGCTTGCTGGCGGGCAACAGCACCCACAACATTGTGCCCCTGCTGCTCAACAGGCCCCTCCCTGGGGATAGAACCATTCTGGCCCTGTGGAAGGTGTTCGGCACCGAGCGAGAGACCACAATCAACGTCCTGCAGCTGCTGATAGGCATCCTGGAAAACCACTCCACAGAGGGCACGACGGAGATAGCCCTGCAGCCCATGGAGGCAGCGTGTGCCTTGTGTGAGATGCTTTCTGGGTCTCTGTGCCGGGAGGCCATCCTGGAACTCTACCCCCGGCTATTGCTGGCTGTGCTATGTCATCTCTTCTGGGTGATTGAGCAAAATACCCCCCAGAAGGTGGTGGTCTACAGGAAGGATGGGGGCTCAGGCAAGACCTTTGACTCCACTAGTTGTGCCCTGGAGGTGGTGAAGCTTGTGTTGTTCGCAGCCGCATATGATGGAGTGGTGGTCTATGCAGATGAGCATAAGTGCTGGGATCATCTGTCCTCCTCTAAATTTTACTACAGAGGGATCATGGACCTGACAAGTGGTATTGTGAAGAACTGTGAAGCAGTCATGCTGCACCGAATTCTGAACCTTGTCAAGACCTTCCTTGACAGCGGAGATAATCATCAGAAGATCTTGGCCAGGACCATCTATGCACAGCTTCTCTGGCATCGATCAGTGGCTCAGACTCTGGGACAAGACTTTGTGGGCAATCTAATCAAGTGGACCAAGGAGCCCAACCTCATTATGAAAGAAATTGGACTCCGTGGAATCAGTAACCTGGCACTGCATCCAAGTCAATCAGAGTCTGTGAAGAGCCTTTTTCCATCCTTGCGAGACTTCCTGAAGAGTGAGGCACGAGTGACAGTTCAGGCAGTGAAGGCCCTACGGAACATTGTCATACATGGGCATGGAGAAGAGGTCAAGGCGATGTTCTGCAGCATCTCCAAGGATCTGCATCCACCCGTCAATGATAAGAAGGACCAGGTGAGGATCACAGCCATCTCTGCCCTTGGGCACATGCTACATAGTCAACAAATTCAGGCCTGGATATGGCATCAAGAAACATCTGTACAGTTTTTTAGTCCCGCTGCTGCTTAGCTTAGAGGACAACAACACAGAGGTGGTCAAGGCCTGTGGAGCAGCCCTGGCTGAGTGAACTAATGTGATTGGCTGGTCATCCTTCACACAGATGTTTCAGCATACCACCCTCAGTGATCACATGCAGGTGTTGGAAGAAACATGCAATCACTTGGTGAATACATGCAAAAGACAATTAGTGGGGGAGTTACTGTTTCAGAGCTTCAGCTTCCTGAAGAGCTCCGAGTCCTTCCTACGGACAGCTGCACTCCATTTCATAGCATTAACAGCTGAGAAGATAAACCTGCATTCCATACATGAGGATGATGTGCAGCTGTTACGAAATGCTCTTGAAAGTATGAAGAATGATCCTGTGGAATCTATCCAGATTCTGGTGACTACTCTTCTTCAAAATATTGAGGAATATGTTAATCCTGAGGACAGCTCTACTTCCATTATAAGTACTCGCTTCTTCCGATTACGTGGCAGGAAAGCCCAAAAAAGAAAGAGGCACCTATTTAAGACTGTCAGACGGGAAGGAGATAATGATACTGATCGGCCCAGGAATTGGCTCCTAGGCCCTCTAAATTTACTGTGCAACTGGTGCAAGGGAGTGTAAAGAATACTCCCCTTCTAGTAGGCAACTTAGAAAAGTCAACACAGTCACAAGCACCAAAGTCTGAAAGTCCCCCTGAAAAAACTGAATTGATCCCGAAACAAGTTGCTCCTGAGCCACTGTGAACATTTAGAACTTGTGGCTAAAGCCTTTTCCAGTTGTTTATTCATATGTCAGTGCTGGACTCTGCCGTAGTCTCTCCTACCTTTTTTCCAACTGGGTGGGCAACTTTGGTTTAACCCCAAATAGGTAGTTTTGATCTTAGAAGATATAGTATAGCCCTTGTTCTTTATCTCCCCTAGGGTACTGTGAGCTATCAGTATATACATTTGTAAATAAACGTTATTTTTTCATCCTAAAAAAATAAATAAATAAAAATAAATTGTTTGGCAGGGTCGTCAAAGTTCTCTCTTATTTGCTCTTTATGAGACTCCTGACAGCACTGTGCAAGGATGCACTTTTTAAAAAACACTGTCACTGGTTCATAAGTGAGTCCCACCAACGCAGCTGTGGCCCCTCCCAGATGTTGGTGGAGAGGAGGGGGAGACTCCTGGCTTGTTTTCTAAGCGCCTCCTGGGAAGAGAACTAAGTGCTCAGGGTGAGGACCCAGGTGCACAGGCTGCTGAACTTGACTGCCCCACCCCCCACCCCCTGCCACTTGTGGACACCCGACAGGCCTGTCTGCAGGAGGTGCCTAAGGGACCATGAGTGCGAGTTCTCATCCCCCAGCTCATCCCTGTGTTGTGAATTGGCTGGCCTCTGTCCCCAGGTATTAGAATTGCTCAGCTGAGCTGCCCATGTAGGCAACAAGGCAAACCTTGAAGAGTTTGAATTGCAGTGGGGTCAACCAGAGAACAGGCCAGAGGAAGCAATCAGCCCTCGGTCTGAGAACAGGCCAGAGGAAGCAATTGCCCATGAAGGGCAGCCGGGGGAGGGTCTGCTGGATCAGCCCAGGTGAGGGGCACCTCTCACTGCCTCCGATGGGAGCCCACAAAAGGCCCCTGAAGACGTATATACACGCCCAGGGCGGGGGAGGGGAGAGGGCCTAGGCTAGCAGCCAATAGAGAGGTACTGGGTGCAGAGTCAGAGTGGAGAAAAGTGTCAGCGAGGTTTTCTCCTCTTTCTCCACAGGGAGGCTCCTGAAGCTAAAGTCCTAGGAATGAAGGCTGCCCACAGGGGCCTGGGACAATTGCAAGTCCTTCAGAGCCTGCAGAGCATCATCCTGCCCTAAGTCTGGACTGGGGAGGGCAGCATCCCCGGGGGCCTGCCAGGTAAAGCTTCCTGATGGCCTGTGGTCAGACCTGAGAATCACCCATAGGTGGTAACCAGGAGCTGGACTCCGCAGCCACTAAATTCTTGGCATTTTCTGGGTAGTGGGAGTGTCTCTGTAAATCCGGGCAGCTCCTTATGCTAATGAGGGGACTCTGGATGGGGCTGGACCAATCTCATGTTAGAGCAGTGGTTCTCAACCTTCCTAATGCCGCGACCCTTTAATACAGTTCCTCATGTTGTGGTGACCTCCAATTTCATTGTTACAAATTGAACATAATTAAAGCATAGTGATTAATCACAAAACAATATGTAATTATATATGGTCTTAGGCGACCCCTGTGAAAGGGTCGTTCGACCCCAAAGGGGTTGCGACCCAGAGGTTGAGAACCACGGTGTTAGAGGGTGGGGCTTTCAGCCTTTGGACATCAACCCAAGCTCCTGAGGCTTCCTGAGAGGAGGTCTCCCTCAAACTTCAGAGCTGCACACCCGGTTCACAATTTTTGCAATACCAGGTCCTGACTGTACTTAATCCCTTTCCGATTTGATATTTTATCTTCTGATGCAGTTTAAATGGGGGGGGGGCAGGGGGAAGGCGGAAGGGTGTGTGGATGAATGGGTATCTGGATGAAAGGTAGGTAGATGGATGGGTGGGTAGATGGACTGGTAAGTAGGTAAATGGATAGATGGATGGATGGATATGTGAATGGATGAACTGTTAGGCAGATGGATAGGTGAATGAAAAGCTAGATGGATTTCAGCCCTAGCCAGTTTTGCTCAGTGGGTAGAGCGTTGGTGGACTGCAGGGTCCTGGTTCGATTCTGGTCCAGGGCATGTACCTCGGTTCAGGCTCCTCCAGGCTGTGTGCAGGAGACAACCAATCAATGTGTTTCTCTCAGCAATATTTCTGTCTTTACCTCTCTCTTCCACTCTCTCTAAAAGTGAACTGAAAAATATCCTCAGGTGAGGATTTAAAAAAAAAGCTAGACAGATTTCAGATATGAAAATCCAAGTGTGTGACATTTAATAAAACTCTGGCTTGGGGCAAAGATCACTTCAAGTCATTTTTCCCAGGCCAAATGACTCACCTGCCCTTGCTCAATGAAAAGCAGCCCAATCTGTGACACGGAGTGAAGGGAGAAGATCCCACCCAAAGACCCCAATAGTTCTTCCTGTGAAACAAAAAAAAACATTGTGTATGAATAAACTGTAAGCATGTGTTTAATTCTAAATGTAACTTTAGGGCATCCAATGAGCTAAAATGAAGAACAATTTTTAAAAATGAGGATCTATTTATTCTCTATGAAATGTAGCTTGTAAGCAGAACCTCGAGTGGAGACAGCTTGTGCTGGGCAGACTTTTGCCCTTGCTTAGTGTCTTTATTGGGAGGTTCTGGTTGAAGGAGATGTGGATGGGTGTCAAACTGACTGCGAGATGCATGCCTAAACCCTTCCTTTCGGCCTCGGTTCCTCACTCCTGCTGTTCGGCTGGTCAGCAGAGTGCCCAGCAGCCACACTGGAGCACAAAGCCAAGCTGACATTTTTCAGGTCAGAGAGAGACAACTATCTTAATTACGCCTCTGTTTTTTGGGAGGTTCTATAAAATATACAGTGCTTTGGACTGAATTGTGCGCCCTCCCCTCCCAAATCCATTGGTCAAAACCCTAACCCTTTGTCTTAGTCCAGTCAGGCTGCTGTGACAAAATGCCACAGACTGGATGGCTTATACACAATAGGAATTTACATCTCACAGCTCCGGAGGCTGGAAGTCTAAGACCAAGGTGCCAGCGTGGCCAAGCGAGGGCCTCGTCTGGGTCAGACTTCTTGCTCTGTCCTCACCAGATGAAGGGGGCCAGCAGGCTCTCTGGGGCCTCTGGTGTGAGAGCACTTATCCGATACCATTCTCATCTATAAAACCTGGGTCATAAGAGTACTGATCTTCGGGTGGGCATGGGGTTAAATATCGTAATTAATGTGCAGCCTCTACTTCGGCACTAGCTTTCATAAGCACTCCATAAACGTGCTATCATTTAAAACCTCCTGTCTCCTTTCCTAACTTCTTAATCTCCCTAGCCAGGTTCCATGACCTGGAATTTTCCCTACCCTCCCAAGAGACAGAAGCCCTGGTTCACCCACTGCGTGCTAATTACTCCAATCACACACGAGACATTTCTCTTTTTTGGTTCACTTTCTTATGCAAATGCACATACCTGTGTAACAGAGGCATACTCGTGAAATCTGTATGCCCAGTTCTCGGAGTAATATATATTGGTCTTAGATAACTGGTCTCCAAGCAAATAGGCAAAAACGACATTACTTATATCCTGGAAGAACATACACAGAACAGTCTCTTTAAAAGGAGATTTGAGGGGTGGGGATGGGGAGATGCTGTTGAAGGTCACAACCTTGCAGCCAGTAGCTACATGCTCCTGCAGATCTAATGCCCAGCAATGCTATCCTGTAAGCTTCAAAGGTACTAAGAAACCGGATCTTAAAGGTTCCCACCACAAAAAAAAGAAAAAAAAGAAATGGCAATGATGTGCCATGATGCAGGTAACCTTCAGCGGTCGTCATATTGCAATATGTAAATGTATCAGATCATCACATTGTACACTTACACTTACAATGTTATGTCAATTATATCTCAGTAACAAAGGGAGATTGATGCCAAGGGTAAAACTCCAGGGCAATTACCCCAGAAAAATTAAAACATATGCACATACAAAAATCTGTACATAGCCGAGACCGGTTTGGCTCAGTGGATGGAGCGTCGGCCTGCGGACTGAAGGGTCCCAGGTTCGATTCCGGTTAAGGGCATGTGCCTTGGTTGCGGGCACGTCCCCAGTGGGGGATGTGCAGGAGGCAGCTGATCGATGTTTCTCTCTCATCGATGTTTCTGGCTCTCTATCTCTCTCCCTTCCTCTCTGTGAAAAATCAATAAAATATATTAAAAAAAAAATCTGTATATAAGTGGGTATAGCAGTTTTTACAATAGCCCAAAAGTGGAGGCAACCAAATTCTGGTACATTCAGACCATGGTATATTACTTGACAACGAATAGGGAAAGACTAAAGATATAGACAACAAATTGGATGAGTCTCTAGAGAATTTAGCTGACAAAGCTGGTCCCCAAAGGTCCCATATTGTACGGGTCCGTTTATATAACATCCGTGAGGTGGTACAATTATAGAGGTGGGGAACAGGTTAGTGGTTGTCAGGGGTTGGGGTGGGATGGGGGCAGGGAGCTGTGGAGCTCTGGGATGACAGAATAGACGGTATTTCAATGGCAGGAATGGTCCTGTGATGTGGCAATGTGATGAAATGCTAGAGTTACACATACACTGTATCTATGTCAATACTAGTTTTAGTATGATACTGCAGTTATGTAAGATGTAACCATTGGAGGAAGATATAGAAAGGGTACATGGGACTCTGTATGATCTTTTCAAGTTACTGGAGAGTCTATAATTATTTTAAATAACAAGTTCAAAAAAAAGGAAGGTAGATGGATATATTTGTAGTGAACTAGCCAGTTGATCTGAAAGTAGCTCCAGAGCCCCTCCCACCTCTCAGGTTGTCGTGTGAGCCCTGGGGAAATGACATTGCCCAAGTCCAAAGGCCCAACCCCCATGGGTTCGCCTGTTCTTATTTCCATCTGTGCTCAGAGCAGAGTGAAAAAACCGATACCCTGTACTCACCAAGCAAAAGGGATGCTTACTATAGCAACAGTTGTCACCAGAAATATGTGAAACAGGGTAATTTATGCCTGAAAGGAAAAGATCATTTGGAAACTATATGAGTTACCTGCAGGTCAGAGAAAAGGTTTAGACACTGTTAAAGATTTTGCTTACTTTGGTCCAGTCGCCAATTTAAATGGAGACTGACCTTGTATGCACATATACATAACCCATGGACACAGACAATAGGGTGCTGAAGGCCTGGGGGGGGGGGGGCGGGTACGGGGGCAGGCTGGATGGGATCAATGGGAGAAAAATGGGGATATATGTAATACTTTCAACAATAAAGAACTATTAAAACAAACAAACAAACAAACAAACAAAAACGAATGGAGACTGCAGCCAAAAAATCAGGACAAGGCTAAGTAACCTGCTATTGACATG